TGTTGGCCATGGATCCAGATCATAAAGATGTCATCGAGTAGCATAAGTAGAGAAGGGGTAAAAGGGGATGGGATGTGAGGAAACGTTGTTCTAAGTCAGCCATAAAGATGTTAGCATATTGTGGGGCCATGCGGGTACCCATGGCTGTGCCACTGATCTGGAGGTATAAGTTGTCCTCAAAATGGAAATAATTGTGGGTGAGAACAAAGTTACGTAGGTCTGCTATCAGATTGGCAGTGGTGTCCTCTGGGATTGTTTCTAATTGCTTGTAATCCATCTTAATGTGGGATGTTGGTGTATAGAGCTTCTACATCCATGGTAGCAAGGATGGTGTTATCAGGGAGGTAATCGATGTTTTGTAATTTTCTCAGGAAGTCAGTAGTATCTCAGAGATAGCTGGGAGTGTTGGTTGCGTAGAGTTTGAGAAGAGAGTCTACATAGCTGGATAATCCAGTAGTGAGCGTGCCGATACCTGAGATGATGGGATGTCCAGGGTGTCCCAGTTTATGGATTTTGGGAAGCAGACAGAACAATCCTGCTTGGGGTTCAGAAGGTGTTTCTGTGTGGATTTGGTCCTGAGTAGATGTAGGGAGGTCTTTAAGGAGACAATGTAGTTTCTTTTGGTATTCTGAGCTGGGATCAGAGGAGAGAGGTTTGTAAAATGTGGTGTTGGAAAGTTGTCTGGTTGCCTCCTGGTTATAGTCGGACTTATTCATAATGACCACAGCACCCCTTTTGTCTGGTGGTTTGATTATAATGCCGGGTTGTTTTTGAGACTCTGGATAGCATAGTGTTCGGCGCGGCTGAGATTGTGTGTCGCTTGTTGTCGTTTGTGAATTATGTCAGTCTGTGCATTGTTGTGGAAGCTTTGTATATAGAAATCCAGATTGTAATTCCGACCGTCAGGGGGAGTCCATATAGAATTATTTTTCCTTTGGTGTTGATGGGGGGGGATCTGGTTGGTCAGACTGATGTTCATTGATAGTTTGGAAATATTCTCGTAGGTGGAGGTGGCAAAAGAAAGCCTCAAGGTCACCACAAAATTGAATCCAGTTTGTGGGGGAGGTGGGGTAGAAAGAGAGACCCTGGAATAAGACAGACTCCTCTGCTGGGTTGAGTTTGTAGCTAGAGAGGTTAACAATATTATCCGGTGGGTTAAGGTAGTTGCTGTTGTAGCTTGTGTTGTGGAGGAGTTTAGAAAGTTTATTGTCTTTTCTTTGTTGTAGGGAATAGAAATGTGATTTCTTGTCTGGTGGAACAAAAGTCTTGTAAGGTGTTAGTCGGTGTGGATGTTTGTCTTAAGATGAGAATCTCTAGGTTAGAGATGTCGTTCTTGATGTTTTTCTGTTTCTTGTATAAGATACTTATCAGGTGTGATTCCATCCAGCAGAGTGAAGTTAAACACATTTACATAAGCCAATTTATAATATATAATTTCAAAATTGCTCAAAGTAAAGGATGAAGATTTAGCTATTTTAAAAGTTATTTTAATCCTGGGGTTTTTTTTGTTCAAATTAATCAGGGACTGAATTAATAGCATTAGATTGAAATGTAAATGCAGTGTAATTGGCAGGAAGTGGTTGTATTTTCTGAATAAAATTGTGTGTGTGTGTGTGTAAATAAAACTGAATAAAAGTGATGAATGATACTCTGTACCTGTTGAGATGGCAGGAAATGCAATGGATCCAATATCTAAGACTATGAATAAGCTTAACAGAATTAAATGTATATATCAGTTTAGTAGATATCAATGTTTATTTTTAAACATTTTCAGTTTTTCCTTTATTTAAATTTCCATAGTTGCATCAAATCGATGGAAATATTTTTCATCAATATATGTGTGTATAATGAAATTAATGTTTACCAGCATTTACTGATAAAAAACTAATCCTTTCAAGACTATCCATGAACCACTGGACAGACGTTGTCAGTAGACACAATCCCACTTCTACATATCTCATTCCCATTGAAATCTGTACTTTGGCTCACTTTCTCTCAGACATTATTAGCTTGTGTTTTTATAGTGGAAATCTCAGTGTGTTATATCCTACCTAACATTTTATTCTCTAGCTCCCATTTTATTATATATTTCTTTATTTCAATGTTGTTTGCATAGTTCACACCTTACATTCATCTTGGACTGAACATACTATGGGCAGAAAGGCCCCTTCAAAATCAAAGCCATGAAGAAATGGGATGTTACATCACAAACTTGGCAATACTCCTTCAAGTGTACAATACATGTATTTAATGTGGGAAAGAGATGGAAACACCAACAATTTTATTAATTAATAGAACCAGTGGTTCTCAGACTATGACCTCTCTGGCACCCAGAGAAGGGCAGAGAAATCCCATCTGCCACTAGTGAACCCTCCAGCCAAATAAGGAATGGTATTAACAGGCTCCAAGGGGAGAGAGGAATCTTATCAAGTTGTCCTGGGCTGAAAGGTTAAGGACTGCATCAGGGAGACAGTGGAGGTCAATCAAGCAGAGCAAAAGCAAGAAACACCCCCATAATTATCCTTGCAGGGCAAGTAGAATTCCACAATAGTTATGGTAATGCTGGTAACCAAATATAGTAAACTTGATTATAATTATCTACATTCATATAGCACCTGACATCCCAGAATCTCAAAGCACTATGCAAACATCAATGAATTAAACTTCATTATAGCCCTGGGAGACATGTATTGTCAATGATACATACTTATAATACTTACTACTTAGCACCTTTCATCTTAAAGTGTTCTACAGAAATTTGTAACTATTATCTCCCTAATACAACCCCCCCCCCATACACACACATACACCCCTTTATACAGCTGGAGGCACCAACACACTGACCCACTCCCCTTGGGAGGTTCCATAGGGGCACCCACTTACGTCCCATATGTCTACAATGCAATTTTATAGCCCTGTGCCCCCAAAGATTTGGAGCTGGGTCAGCAGATGTGTGCCAACTACTGATGTTTTATTGTAGTGTGGACATACCCTTGGGTTAAACAACTAGTCCAAGGTCACACAGTTGGGATGTATTCATTAGACCACATTTCTTCTATTTTTACCTAACAAATTACTCTCCCTCTTGTATTTGTATTCAAACCAAATTGCATAGCAATTCTGCTATTCTGGGAAAGAATAGCAAGTGTGAAAAGTCAGGACGCTATTTTATCCTAGGGAGGCGGTTATATAGTTGTCTAAATAACACAACGTCCCAAATAGTGGGATGTCACCCTAGGATGTCTGATCACCCTAGCAAAGGACAAAATTCACATATGTCACTGAGAGAAGCACCTGCAGGCGCGCGCACAGCCTGTAAAGGACAAAATTCGCTCAAGGGCAGCATTAGCTATGCGCTCCGTCCCCTCGCTGGATTAATAGGCGCTTTCCTCCCCCAAACTCATCACGTGCCTTTCAAGAGCAAATCTGGACTTTGTCAGAGCGGGGAGAGGGGAGTCCTGCCCCCTTGCGCTCGCCAGTCCCAAACCTCGCCAGAAAGCGGCCGGGAGGGGAGGGATTTTGCGTGCCCAGCGCAGCTGCGCTCTCTGAGCGAGACAGGCACCTTGAGACGGCTCCCGGCCGTGGCACTTGCCCTCCTTCCCTTTCCCCGCCCCGCGCCGCGAAAAAGCCGCCCGACAAGTTTCTTGGAACTTTGCCTCCCTTGACGCAAACAATGGAGCGGGGCTCCGTCCTCCCGGGGCAGCCAATAGGCGGGGAGGGGACCCGGTTGCCACCAATCAGAGGGAGCTGGACAGTTCCCCGGTCCTGACTGACCTTCAGCAGCCTGGCGCGGGCGGGGGATAAAAGAGCCCAGAGGCTGCAGCAGAGGTTT